TCACGTAGCTCATGTGTCTGTAAAGCTAGCACAGCACTCAGTGACCAGGGTATTTTAAAAGTCTGGCATCGCCATCACTGCTGATCCATGCTGCAAGTGGTAAGCACAGGGTACTGCCTCTGTGCATGCATCTCAGACTTGGATGGCTTCATAACCTTCCTATTCTTGTGCAGAATTTCCTTGTACATAATGATCTGCTCTGTAGGGAATGGAAATAATGCTTTGCTTTGTTCTGTGTGTTTGTGTGCTGTGGGATACCTGGCATTTTCTGTGTTGTTTCTTGAAAGAAAGTCTCTAATTGGTATGATCTTTTTTGTGATAATGATATTATCTGAGATTTCTGGAGAGTCACACCGATGTTTTTATTATTTCAAAATACTGTTCTCCATATTTTTTTCACAGTTCTTTTGTCAGTAAGTTTTATTAATTGAATCAGATTATAGTTATTTAGTGTTGTGACGCTATTGAATTAGAGAATCTAGAACAGTATTTTAGCATTTTAGACATAAGTTTTAGTGAAGAAATTATAGATTATATTTAAGGTAATGTTATTAATTTAACTGTAGTAAGTTTTAGGTTAAGTTTTGGTTAGAATAAAGTGCCAGTGTGTCAGGTTTTTTCTATTGTAAGATTAAGATATAAGATATAAGGTAATGCAGTACATAGATGTAATCTGATATAATGTAAGGAAAGCTTGCACAAATTTTGGATGTCAGGTTGCCACAGCTCATAATTGTCTTCTGTTACATTACTACTAGTGCGTGACCCATCAGAGATGACAGAAAAAGCAATTTATTATTTATTTCCTTTATCCCTTTCACATGTTTATTTCCTTTCCTGCTTTCTCCCTTGTTGCTTTCCCATATCTTTTTTGTTCATCTTTATTTTGTCTCTCCCTCCCCTCCCCTCTCTCCTTAACCATTAAAACATTTCCCTCACCCCTGTTTTGCCATTTCTCTATCTTTTTGTCCCTTTTATTCCTTTCTCATGTATTTCTTTCCCATCTCTTCTGTTTATCAGACCTACCATCATTCATCACTCCATATCCTAGCAATGGCGAAGAGATGGTTTGCAGTTTTCCCTGTATTATAGCAATGACATGTTAGGTTTTCCCTGAACATGAAAGGAAGTGGTTGTTATTTATAAGCAGATGTTTCCATTATGCTTTTGTTAATAAAATCAAGCAGTTTTTTTTTTCACCCAGAGTATTTTGTTTTCATTGTGGCTCATAATTTTTGGAGGTGGCACCTTGATTTATAGAAAATTTGTGCAGGTAGGCATTATTGTTATGCTGTTCCATGATATGTTAAACACTGGTTAATATAAGTTAGGCTTCAGTAAAATTTCTGTAGAAGGCCTGAGATATTCTAGGTTATTGATAAAGAAGAAATTTCCCATAAGCAGTAGATAGAGTAATGAATCTTAAAGCAGATGGATATTGTACCGTTAATGATAAGATGTTAGAGTATGTTGTGACTTTGGGAGAATTCTGCTTCACTGAAACATACGAGGGGGTACCCAAAAGAAACCGAACTTATTTTTTTTAAACTTATTTATTAAAATTTTAAGCACAACCTTCAATCCTCTTCAAAGTACTCTCCACTTACACTAATACACTTGTCTAGTCTTTTATTCCATTTTTCAAAACATTGTCTAAATTCATCTTTTGAGATGCTTGACAGCGCCTCTGTCGTTTTTCATGTCTCTTTTCATTCGAGGAAACAAAAAAAAAGTCGCACGGGGTAAGGTTGGGTGAGTATGGAGGGTGAGGAACAGGGTTCATACCATTTTTGGTCAAGAATTGTCGTACAGACTGGGCTGTGTGAGCAGGGGCATTGTCATGATGGAAAAACCAGTCACCCGACTGCCACAAATCTGGCCGCTGAGCTCCAAGTCACTCCTGACAGCTCCACAATTTCTTCAGTGGTCCATCATCGATCTTCCTTGATGATTTCACGAATTTTTTCAACATTTTCATGTGTTTGGGCCGTGGAAGGACGACCAGAACGAGGTTTGTCATCAATTGACATTTCACCATTTTTGAAATGGGAAAACCACTCAAACACTTGAGTTTTCCCCATAGCATCGTCCTTGTACGCCGTTTTTAACATTTCAAGAGTTTCTGTTCCACTTTTCCCGAGCAAAAAGCAGAATTTCACCGCCGCATGCTGTTCACGAAAATCAGCCATTGCAAAAACGATGATCACACAAAACAGTTGTCACTATAAACTCTGCCGAAACTAGTCCTTACCTTCTGAAGCAACGGTAATCGGCTTACCGACACAGGAATGTTAGCTCTATGCGCTCATAGCGGCAATACGCGGTACTACAAAAGCTGTGCCCACAAAAAAATTAGTTCAGTTTCTTTTGGGTACCCCATCATACTGTACCGTTGATGTTTTTGAGAATTTTTTTATATTAAATTCTGTAATCTTATGATTCTTCTCTAATACGAGGACTATTCAGAAAGTAAGCTCCTGTGTATGTTAGGCAACCAGCGTAGGAGCGGGGGAGAGCTTGTGCATATGAGGTAGTGTCACATGACTCATTGTCTTGTAAGCCATCACATAACTGGTCACCTAGTGTTTGTTCTTGTCTCTACAGAGTGAGTTGTGATGTGTCCTGTGATTGATAATCCCACCAGCTGCAGAATTAGGGGCACGCGGTAGCATAGTTGGTTGAGGCACAATAGTACAGACTGGAAGGTCTTGGGTTTGAGTCCCAATGAAATTATTTTTTCAATTTACCTAATCCTTCCAGCTGCGTTATGGTCCTGAGGTCGACTCAGCCTCTAACAAAAATGAGTGCCAGGAATCTTCCTGGGGGGTAAAGGGCGGCCAGCTTATAAGTCCGACAACCTTACTGCCATCTGTGAGCTGATCATCTGGATAAAATGTGGGAGCCTCAACGTCTTACAACCCTGTGGGCCTTCATGGCCTGTTACAGGGATAGCTTTTCTTTTCTTTTTTACCTTGCCAGCCACTAAATTCAGGCTGTTATCTGCTTTCTTCATGCTAAAAACAAGAGTGCTGTGGAAATCCACCGTGAATTACAGTTTGCAGCCAAAATGTAATGAGTTAAGGTACTATTAAGACAATGGTCTAGAATGTTCAAAGGTGGGTGAACAAATGTTCATGAGGAAGAGCCAAGTGGTTGACCGTCTGTAGTGAGTGACGATCTTGTTCAAAGTGTAGAGCAAAAAATTTGTGAAAGATGGTGCTTCACAATTTCAGAACTGTTGTGTGAATTTCCACAAATTCCACATGCTGTTCTCTGTGAGATTTTTGCAGCTAGAATAGCTATTATCACAAGTTTTGCACAAGTTGGGTTCCAGAAATGCTCATGGGTGTACACAAACCGCAGAGAATGGCTTTGGCTTTGACTTTCTTAGAGCGATACCAGAAAAATGGCGATGAATTTCTCAATCACTTTGTATGAGTAACAGGTGATGATACCTGTGTTTCACTTGTGAATGATGAAACCAAAGAGCAGCTAAAGCAGCAGATGCATACACATTCACGGAACAAGCGGAGAAAGTTTAAACAAATGTCTGCCAGAAACCTTACGGCAATGCAACAAAGGACCACAATAACATCATAAGTGTATTGTGGAACACCAAAACTGCATAGGCCTGGACATTCAGAACAAAAGGCATGGGATGCTGACATCTGATTTAGAGTTCCTCCAAGGCAATGCATGTCCACATATAGCTGCTTGCACTGGAGCACTCTTGGAGCATTTCAGTTGGGAATTGTTTGACTACCCTCCTTGCAGCCCTGATCTTGCTCCAAGCAACTACCACCTGTTTACTGACATGAAGAACTGGTTGTTATTACAGTTCATCGGCAGTAATGAGGAGCTGATGGAAGCTGTCAAAATGTGACAAAGCTCACAGGTGGCAGACTTCTTTGACACAGGCATACAAAAGATTATTCCCTGCTATGAAAATTGCCTCAGTTCTGGCAGTGACTACTTTGAGAAATATCTTAAATATGAATTTTTGTATATACTCTTTTTTTTTTCTCATTGCTTGTTTTGTTAGCAGCTCATTGGAGGTTACGTAATGAATAGCCATGGTAAATGTAGGAGTAAATAAAATAACAATAAAACCTATTGTATTATGGGGGGTATGCAGTAGCATAGTTGGTTGAAGCATTATGCTACAAGCCAGAAAGTGGCGGGTTCAAGTCCCAATGAGGCCATTGGATTTTTTCAATTGACCTAATCCTTGCAGCCACACTATGGCCGTGGGGTTAATTTTATTTCATTTATTCACCTTCCATAAATCCTGTTGAGAGTACATTCTCATGCGGATGTGGAGATCATCCCAGTGACAGTCACAACTAAGGATTACAGTTGTCATCCAATAGCATACACATTTGTATAAAATACTGATAAGCATATACAATATAATAAATAAGTTAATTTCAGTAGTAAAAGTAATGGCAAACCTTATACAATTTGTACAGTTTTATACAAGTCTATTAATTAAAAATTCAGTAGTTAAAACACAATGTCATTAATGAGTTTTGTATAACATACATTAATTATATAATAAATTGAAATAAAAACTAGTATACAGTAATATAAAGATTGTGTATATCTAAAATAAGCATCTAAAAACCAGACCCAGCCTCTAACAGAAATGAATATTCTTGGGGGTAAAGGGCAGCCAGCGTGTAGGGCTGACAACCTTGCCACCATCTGTGAGCCAATTGTCTGGAAAATGTGGGAACCTCAACATCTCACAACCCTATGGGCCTTCACGGCCTGTTAGAGGGATACCTTTACTCACTTTACCTATTATATTATGAACCTGAGTGGGTCGTGGCAGGGTACATTACTGTATCTACCTTCATAGGCTATAAACTCTATATAATGAGTGCTTGTACCTCAGAATCTAAGGCTCTGTATCCATTGATATTGCTGTAGGGAGATTTGAAGTATACACCTTATAATTCTATGTTTTTGAAGTGAATTGTATTATTCCTCTCTTGCAGCTATTCGAACATGAGTTACATTGTGGATCAGATGTTCCCACCACCTCCAGAGGACACTTCAGAGGACTTCTCCAGCTTCATATATTGGCGTGACCCAATTCCTGACCTTGTGATTGATGCTCATTTACATACAGTGGAAACAGCTAGTCTGATTGAAGAGACTCGGAAAAAGTCAACATCTGGCACGACTGTTGCTTAGATCCTCAGTGCGGAGGTGAAGCATTCACTGTGGTACAATGTCTTATTTTTGAGATAATATAGCAGTCTGCTGTATACTCACTCATACACTAATATTACTGGTTATAAAAGGTATTTATCTCTCTGTAGCAGGTGTGGATGTTAATAGACAGGCATGCCTGCTTCCAGTATAAATGTTAGTCTTGGGCTATAAAAAATTGTGTTTTGCCAGTTAGTGCTGACAGTGGGATCAGGGGAAGAATTTGTGTTTGAAGGAGAATAAGTAACCTGTTGTTAAATTCCTGAGTGTGGAGTGAGTTCTGTCAGGCTTTTCCCACTGGTTTCATTTGAGTTGGAGATAACTGTAAGTAGTGCATTAGATATGAATTCATGTATAACATGTTTAAACTCTGCTTTTTGTTAGTATTTGTCAATTTCCTCATTTATTGTCTAGGAAAGGAAAATTGTGATAGTTTGATAGAAACCTTTGGCTTACATTATTAACCCAGTATTTAAATGTGATAAATTATGCCTGTGGTTGAGTTTAGCACAACTATTTACAGGTAGCTTATGTAGTTATAGTAATAACATGGTAGTTGTGATAATGATAATAATGCATAGATTTGCTTATAATTAAAATGTTCAGTCATGATGCAATATTATAAACTGTTATTAGCCATTTCTTTAATATTATTTGGTTAATTTTGAGGTTATATTTTCTGAAGTTCATGTTCCAGAAATAGCATAGGGAACATTAAGATAAAAAAAACTGCATGAACTAAAGAGATACTATTCAAGTTCATACATAACATAACTGTCTGTTCCTTTTAGTGTTAAGATATTGCTTCACACATGTGTTCTGGTCTAGAATGACTGCTTTCAAGATCACTGTTAACCTGAGATCCGAAGGAAAGCAATTTTAAATTTGAAGTGAAAGTACAGAGTTTGGGGACATGGTAATATCAGGCTAAAAGCTGAGATGAATGTGACTATAGGATTACTGATGCTGACACATTAGTAATTCTATCTTCTCAATTAAATGTATGAGGAACAGAAGAAAAGGACATCATGCATGTAGATAAAAAAAAAACAATATTCTAAGGCCATATTACGAAACATTTTTAAATGCTGAATCCAATAGATTTTGGCAGTTTAATTAGATTTTTTAATGTTTCCAAATTTAAATATATGCATTGAACTGGAAAACCATAAACCTTCACACATTATAAACAAGGTGCACACGCGAAATGTATATCATTTTTCTGTAATATTGCTCATCAAATGAGAGACACAGGAATGAAGAAGTAAATGCTGTTGTATGGATTATGTGAACTGGCCTGCATTCTACAGATGTTCCGTAAGGGCACCATGAGTGGCCTGGCAGGTATTGTATCTGTATTAGTTTCAGTCCACATGTAGTTAAGCAAGTCGAGGTTAACTGTAGGCACCACATTTCTTATCCTCCCACCAGGTTTCTGCAGAGTGGTGCGTTAAACTGATCAGAATGATCTCATCCAGTTTCTTATGTGAAACGAAATGTTTATATATGGTTGGAATTGCAGTGGATCATTTATGTGTATAAATGAATGATTGATAATGTTTTAAACTTTCAGTGCCTTTGCCATGTTTTTAGACTGAAGTCATGCTTTTCACTTTTTTGTCCAAATGAAGAAATACACAGCATTGCATATTATAGTATCATGCATGGCATTGTGTTTACAGTGCGCCATTATACGTGTAAAAGTCGCATCATATGCGGTCTGAGGTTGCGAGCTTGGAGTATGTTGACACGTTTCTGTAAAATACTTTCTGTATGATCACAAGTGTAGGGTGTACCCCCATGTACTTTATACTTCCTTGATTTAAGAATCTCTCATGTTTATGCATATATGTTGGTGATCATTGTGTTGAAACACTGCAGGATTTTCAGATGTTTCCAGGTTAACAGTTATTATCATGACCATGTGGGTGTGTAGATGATAACTTTAGCCAAGCTATGACAGAGGGTGATGTTTAGTTACGTGTAACTACACAAGGTTTCATTCTTTTTAGTACATAACAATATATTTATTTGTATATATAGTAAGGAGAAATAAATTATTATATATACAATATGATTTTGTAATAATTTTATTTATTTGTATTTTCGTGGATTATTATAATAATTTTTATAAGATGATGAACAGGTGTTGTGTTCAGTGCATGATGATGTAACTCTTTGGCTGGTTAGAAATGTTTGTTGATGTAAATGTTCTTGTGTTACATTGACTGTTGTTCAGGAAAGGAAAATGAATGCTGAGAAGGAAAGGTCATTGTCCTGTGCTCAGCCCAGCATGAGACTATACTTAAATGGGTGTAAATTGGCAAATGAGCTAGATGTAGTTGAGTTCTGGTATTTATCCCAGATTGAGGGAATAATTTTGTGATCTAAGGAAGTTATTGAAAGATTACTGTATACAGTATAATGATCCACATTTGTGACTGAATAGCACCAGTAAACTTATGAATGTCTGTATGGAAAGGTAGGATAACAGTGACAATAGTAATAAGAATTTTTAGTTTACAGTTGTAGCCGTAAGTGAAATAAGTTCACATGTGCCATATTTCAAGAAGTGGAAGTGGGCCACGTAACATGCTGTTCTACAGGGTCACTAGAAAAGATGCTTCATTATAGACTGTAGGTATTTTTTGATATTCCTATTATACAGGAATGTTAGAGCATCAATGTAAAAGTGTTTTTATTTCCTTGTCATCATCATTGGCAATAGTAGTGGTGACAGTGATGATATTAACAGTGATGAGGACAACAACAACAACAGATTATTTTGTTTCAAGGCTTTGGGATGGCGAATGAATTTTTAGTTTGGTAAGGAGGACTTGGCATAATTTTTCAAGTCCTAGTTGACAACATGTTGTTGCTCCATTGCCATACCTTAACTTCCAGATCATTGTATGTATGACATTTTCATAAACAGTATGTGGCAATCATTTGTGTGGTGTCAGCAAGGTTCTGGTTTCACAATGCATGTCAGTCCATGTGGTAATTGAGCTCAGTTTGGAATTTAAGTATTAAAATTGTATCTTTTTTAATGAACTCTCATGAAATGAAAACTAGTTTTAAGAGTATGGGCATTACCTGGGTAATGGATTTTATATTGAACTGAATTGATGTTAGTGATGTTCATTAATAATGAAAAATAATAAAATTGCTGTATTTCAGTAGGTGTGTTCCTTGAGTTGGAGAAATTTATGATACTTTGTGTTTGTGATAAATATATCCATATGACCTTTAGAAGTATTTTATGGTGCAGTTTTTGCACATTTAAAAATTAAATGAACAGTGGATCACAGACAGTGGGATTCTTATATTGTTTGACTCATAATAGGTATGTAGGATGAGATCTTTTGTTGATAAGGGTCTGTTTGAAAATTATATGAAAATCAGTCATTGAAGGATTCATTTCTTTCATTTGCCACTTGATATAAAACTTTGCTGGAGTTAATAGCCCTGTCATAATGTTTACCTGTCAAAATCACATATTACCTTGTGTAAGCATTTAACTTCCACATGAAGGACACATTTTGCTTAAAACACGTAAAACAGCAGTAAATAGCTTCAGTTTTGAAGGTTTGAAACATTGAAAATACTGTCTTCTGCCCCATAATGACATACTGTGTTTGTATTGAGCATTCTGGAAAACCTTTTTTTGTGTAGTCCTCCTCGGTGGATAAAATACTGTCTTCTGCCCCATAATGACATACTGTGTTTGTATTGAGCATTCTGGAAAACCTTTTTTTGTGTAGTCCTCCTCGGTGGATAAAATACTGCCACAGCATATAAAGTAATGATTAGTTCTTGTAGTGTCTTCTATATATAGCAGTTTCTCAAATAGTAATGTTAAGAATATGAAGAATAAAAATTCTATCAATTTGAAGGAATTCACTGCTTTCTCCTCCTAGAGGCAGTAGATCTTGTGATTTTGATGGATTTACATCAGCTTTCATGAATATGAAAATTTGTTTTTGGAATGCTGTCTGTCTGTAGGTGTATGTTTGTGCCTTGCTAGCACCAGAAATGTTAAACTAATTTTGTTCATATTTAATGTTTTAAGAGTTTACCCATTCTAGCTCAATGCCCAATTGATATGAACTTTGATTTACTTATTTGAATTTTTGCAACCATTCATGTTGTGTAAAAAAAATAGTTTCTGGAGGCTCATTAATTTTCTTGAGTGAATTATTCCTTTACTCTGCTACACGGCTAAAAGTGTATTGTGACAGCGATGGTTGAGTTTTGTGTACACCCTTAGCTGTTGAATAAGCCTGACTGTCAAGTTCTCGTGCACTTCCTTAGAGGTCAAAAGGCGGACGTGTGCTGTTCGTTTGCAAAGTACTTATGATGTGTTACAATTAAGGATGTAACCTTGTAACATAATGTCATAACATTTCAAAATAAAGTGACATGCAACTGCTAAAGTAATTATTTTCACTTGCACCTCTCGTATAGATCTGGATGTATGTGATCATTTGCCAAGGTATTTTACTGAATGGTGAATCGGTCTGGGTTTGGAGAAACCAGAATCACCATCCCCCGTTCAAGGAGTCATACAGACTGTCTAAAGATTAAGAAAGTGAAGTGACACAAAGAGTTTCACGGATGTCCTCTGTTTCACATAAGTTTATACATTCAGGTAGAAGAAAACTTTGTTTAATTATTGTTGAGAATTACGGATTTCGGCATTCTTATCGTGTTCAGGATTGTTTAGATATAAAAGTTTGTCTCGAATACTGAAAGACTTACGCAAATATTATAGTTGACAAAAAATGCTTTTTATTTTTATCTACAATGTTTGAAACGTCTTTCACTCCCATATATGCTTAACGAGTTAGGCTGGAGGTGGGTACAGAAGCTAATGTAGGTTTTCATGAAAACCGTTAATCCTGACAGATTTCAAACATAATTGGACGAATTATATTAGTACTCCAAATATAATATTTAATGGAAATCCATGCCATAATTCTCGACTTGTTCAATGCGTACAGATAGGTAGATGGTCACACAGTATGGACCGAGCGAATTTAATACGTGTTCCGCAGGATTTCGAACGCTCCTGTAGTTGAAGGCAGACGACCGTTCAGTGAGATAATAGACAATTGATACAGTTGATAGCTTCATATTATCTTATAAACATATTTATTCAGTCCCTTAAAGGATAAATCTGAAAATTTCCGTGATCTTGGTCTTTTAGGAAAGTTTCTCTAGCCAGAATAAATTAGTCGGCACAGCAAATAGATCCGGGAGGTAAAGCGGCCAAGGAAAGCTGCCTATGCGTGGAACTATGCTTCAACTCCCCCATACGTATTTGTTGCGAGTAGGTTACTTAAGCAAGAGACAATTATGTTTTAGTTACGGAAAGTTCCCTGAAGCAGAAATTGCGACATCCACTAATTGCTTTTTGATTTTGTGAGCTTGATAAATGAACTGTTATCACACTAATTAAATTACCGTAGTTTGAACGAGAAAGCTAGTTCACCAAATAGTTCCAGAAGTTCACACTAGTTGGCAGTGCTAGTATTCCCAGCCTCTTCATGAGAAAGCAACTGTGCACCATATCAACATGATTTAAGAGAGACTCAACTGACCTTTCACTGAATTCCACTGAAAAGCAGCTATGTCCTCATCTGCAAATTCCAAGGAGATATGTTAAGGGGGCTACACACCTTCAGTTTATCTGTGCAGTTAACTGTCGTAAATAACTGTGAAAATCTGTACATTTATCTGAACTGAAGGTGTGTAGGATACCTTCAGTTTTTGCCTCAGTTCAGTCCGATTTTTCTTCAGTTCTCTCTTCACTTTCGACAGGTTTGGTTGTGTTCTAAAATAAATAAAGTTCAATGGATGACAGAAAAAGAAGAGCTGCAGTTTTGCTAGAAGAAGAAGAAGGCAAAAGGAAAAAACGCCGTGAATGCTGGTGCAAAGATTGGTATCTGCAAAGAAGCGTTTTGCCCAGTGATTACCATTTACTGAATGAGTTACAAGGAGGAGGGGAAATTAACGATTATAAAAATTACCTAAGGATGGACGAAAATGCATTTCAAATTTTATTGAGGAAAGTTGTTCCCCTCATTGGAAAAAAGGCCACAGTCTTGAGACTGATGTCTCAAGATGTGAGACTGATTGCGACTCCTCGGTTCCTGGCAACTGGGAGAAGTTTTCAAGATTTGACATTTTCAATGAGAGTATCTCCTCAGGTGCTTGGAGAGATAATAATAATAGAAACATGCGTGGCAATACGGAAAGCACTGCAAAATTTTATTCAGGTTAGCATACTTTAATTATTTGCTAAGACCATAGGTGTGACTGAATAAATATTCATAAAATAGGAACCATAGTTTATTACCATACTCACTAAATAAAAATGTACATGTATGTAGAAATACAAAATCAAATTTACACATTGAGTAGGTATGTACATATGTATATAATGTTATTGTAAATTATTGTATTCGTTGTCATCGTACGAGAATCCCTCCAACAGAGTCCTTGCCGTTTGGGGTTCAGAATGTTGAGAGTACGAATTCGAACTCCAACTGGGAGATGGTTATGAAGTGGATAAAGGCCCTGATGGGTGAACCAGATAGCTGCCTCTGGTTAAAAGGCGCATCTGACCATCAAGCAATGTTTCATTGATTACTTTATCAGCAAACATTAGCTGTTGCTGAGTAAATTTCCTTAATTTCACAGCGTATCCCTTTGCCAATATCAAAAACTCGTCTTCAACTTCCAAATACTTTGTAAGGAGATCATGTGATGAAGGGGCCGACTTTCTCTTTCTGCTAGGTTGTGCAAACGAATTGACTGTGGGTGTAGGTCCTGAAGAAGCTGATGGAGAGGATGGGGCAACCTATAACAAAAACATAAATATTTGTTACCTAAATCATTATTAAATTAAATAATTAAATAGTTATTTTAATTTCTGATTTTAGCTTCCTAAAAGTGAAGAAGAGTGGAAACAAGTCGCTCATGATTTCGAAGAAAAATTACAATTTCCGCACTGCCTTGGTGCAGTTGACGGAAAAACACATTCAGATAAAAAAACCCTGCGAATTCCGGCTCTCGTTACTTCAACTATAAAGGAACATTCAGCGTTGTATTGATGGCAATAGTTGATGCAAACTACAAAGTTTTGTTGGCTGATGTTGGAACAAATGGAAGAATTTCTGATGGAGGCGTTATTAAAAACATGGCTTTCTACGACAGTCTCAAAAAAGGTGAACTGAATATTCCACTTCCCGAGCACCTTCCAGGAAGTAACAAAACTGCTCTGTATGTCTTTGTTGGGGACGAGGCATTCCAGTTACAAGATAATTTCATGACCCTATTCTTTTTCTGTGCTTAATCATGAAAGGCGCATTTTTAACTATCGCCTTTCTAGAGGAAGAAGAATTGTTGAAATTTTTTTTTGGAATTTTAGTTTCCAGATTTACAATATTTCAAAAACCCATCAATCTATCGCCAACTAAGGTCAATGCCATAGTTCTAGCGTGTTGTTATTTGCACAATTTCTTAAGAAGACATTCCAGTAGTTACATCAACAATCAACCGCCTGTTTGTTATCAAAATTCGCTCGACATGGAGTCTCGAACATCCTCAAATAGTGGAAGTCTAATTGGTATGAGAAACGGCAGCAGTTCATGTTCCTCTAGCTCAGCCAAAGAAATTCGCGACACTTTCTGTAGTTACTTTAACGATGAAGGAAAAGTCGAGTGGCAAGAAAATAGCGTTTGAATATTGAATATAAATATTCACGAATTTCGTTTGATATATACAAAAATAATACTGTTGTTATAATAATATGTAATAATAATTAATAAATAATTATTGCACGTTTACTTACCGATTTTTCATTGATGTCATTGCCCAGTTCACTGGTTGAATTACTGGCATCAGGAGTTTCCTGGTCCACCAAAAACATCAGTTCCCCGAAATACCACAGACTTGGAACACACATCATTAGCTGAAGCTCCCGATTTCTTTGATTCGTTTACTTTCTTCAACTCCTTACGAAAAACGGATCTTAGGTTATTTATTTTCTTCACTACACTATCACGTGTTGCATCAGGCTCGAGAGGTTTCAGTTTTTCAATTAAAACATCGTAGGCTGCCGCTTTCTTAACACGGTTGGAATAAGATACGCATGCGGTATCCCAAAGCTCGGGAAGGGACTGGTAGCCGTCGATAAATGCTAAAAGCGAATCCTTTTTTCAGACCGTAGTCATTGTACAGGTACAGAAACAGGACGGCAACTGAACAAACTGTACGATAAACTGCGCAGGTTATCGTTGCAAATGAGGGTCCGAATGCGCAGACTTTTTATCTGCGTGAAAACCGGTGTAAACTGCGCAGTTGACACAGTTTATCGCTCAGACATGACGTCACACGTGATAAACTGAAGGTGTGTAGCACCCTTTAGAGAAGTTCAGTGCCCCAGGAAGAAGGGCCGAATTCGCGTAAGTTGAACATCTGAAAACTGTAGATTAATAAGAGTTTGTAATGGTGCCGAAAGAAGCTATTGTTTTGTATACAGCATGTCCGGAATTCAGGCTTCATTCATCCTCGGTCTTGCTCTTCGTCCCGTCAGTAGAGCGCTGTAGACATACACCGCACGGTATGTTATGGCCAGTTTCAGCCTCTGCTGCACGCCAACGCCCCTCAGCAATGCCATCTGTGCGCCTAGCCAAGTTATGTTGTAACTATCGGTGAAGAACGTGAAGATGTGTCAAGAACGTCGAGAATTGCTTCGGATTTCTTAATTAATTTCTGTTGTACCCCGAAGGCCGACTCCCGGTAACATGTTAAAGGAGTATTTAATTTTTTTTTTATTTTAGGGGAAAATGTTGGCTAGAATAGAATTAGTTTTGGGAAATACTTATAAGACGTACGAAAGAGGATATAAGAAGGGTTAAGAAACTTCAAGGAATTTCTGCGTATGGAGTTAGACGGATGTTAGCCTTTGACGAGTCGATGTCTTGTCAGCAGAATGACGTTGAAATGCTAACTCTATAAAATCTACACTTGACTATGAGGGAACGTGTGCAGGTAAAAGTGTTAGCCAAATGGCCTAGCAGAAAAGCGGCGCATCCACCCCTACGGATCCCAGCCAACGACAGCAGCCACCTTGGGATAAGGCATCATTGGAGGCGGACCTGCACCCCCCCCCGGGAAAGTAATGAGTTAGCA